GTTGGTGGTGGCGGCTGGGATACGCACGCAGCAGGTGGCTCGTGGATGTGGTGGTCTGTACCCTAGTGCTGGGCTCCACTGGTCTCTGCCAGGCGTGCTGAGGCCTGGGGTCACTGTGTATTAAGCTGGACAGAGCATTAAGAGCATCAGGCTGCCTCAGGATGCCCACAGACAGGCACGGTTCCTCCACGGATTCACCTCCTCATGGTTTACTAGACAGGCATTCCAAGAGCATGATTTGCAAAGGCTCAACGTGTATTTTGGGGGATGATAACACGAGTCCTAGAGCGCTTCAGTTCACAAAGAGGCAAGCTCACTGAAGAGGCAGAGATGAAACTGAAACCCAGATGTTCGAACCTCACACACACTGTGGTTTCCCGGCCGGTGCCGTCGTCTCGTCCCGTCACCCATCCCAAGTTTGTGCGAGTCCCCTGCGGGGCGTGCTAGAACAGAGCCCAGCTTCAGCAGAGAGGAACATGTAAGCCTGTGAGCATGGGAGATAAGCATCTTTGCGCTCCCTTGGAGCCCTGCGGAGATTTCCACACACTGCCTGGACAGTGACAGCCACCGCTCATGGTTTCCCCACAAAGGGGGCATGGGCATGCTGGGGAAGCTGGCCAGCCTGCGATGGAGGGAGGCAGTCTTTCCAAGGCAACTGCCCGCAGCACCACCAACTCCCTAGGAGTTCAGTCAGTGAAGCGTCACGGTTAACACAAATTCAGAACTTACAGAGGAACTCAGAGGGAAAACATCCAAGTTCTCTCGCTTTTCCCCTAAACTCTCCCCCACTTACCAGTCCAACCAGGTGCTACTCCTGTCTCCGCTCTCTGGCAGGTGGAAGTTCTCCTGTCCATCTCCAACGTGCAAGTGATCACGTTCACCCCTCAGGGTTATGTGAGCCTGTGTCACTGTCAGGACAGAGAAGTGCCAGGACGGGCCCCCGACTCAGCCCAGACCGCTCAGATCTCCCTCAGCCCCGCAGCCCGTCCAGCCCAAATTCTGTAAGTTTAGTTCCAAAATATTGCTAAAGAATTTTTTTCCTCCTTTCTGTCCTGTTCCAAAATTCCCTCTCTTTTTAAAAAGATTTTATTTATTATTTATTGCAAAGTCAGACATACAGAGAGGAGGAGAGACAGAGAGGAAGATCTTCTGTCCGACGATTCACTCCCCAAGTGACTACAATGGCCCGTGCTGCGCTGATCTGGAGCCAGGAGCTTGGAGCTTCCACGTGGGTGCAGGGTCCCAAAGCTTTGGGCCGTCCTCGACTGCTTTCCCAGGCCACAAGCAGGGAGTTGGATGGGAAGTGGAGCTGCCAGGATTAGAATCAGCGCTCATATGGGATCCCAGAGCATTTAAGGCGAGGACTTCAGCCACTAGGCTACAGCATCTGGCTGGAAATGTCTGTCTTCTAGTCTCATGCTTGAGGTTCATGTTTGTCAGCAGTCTTGGTCAGGAGTTCTCAAAGGTGAGTTTGGTTTGTTGGGCTTTCCAAGTCATCAAAGATGTCTACACTGCCACTTGATCCTCTTTGCCTTTCAGGTAACCAATTTTGTTGTCGGTTATTTGTTGTTTTTATGTTCCTTGTTTATTAATTTATTTGCGAGGCCGAGAGACAGAGATGGACATACAGGGAGTGCTCATGCATGGTTCACTCCCGACGTGTGCAGGGCGGGAGCTGGCGAGCCAGGAACTTCACCCAGATCTCCCAACTGGGGGCCAGGAACCCAAGGCCTTGAATCATCCCAGTTACCTCTGGAGTGTCTGATGGTTACCGTGGTTACAGGAAGTGGGTGGACACCGCAGTGACCTCAGCCAGAGGTCTGGCACACCCTGAAGGCAGCCAAAGCCATGTACGGTGTGTTCAAGGCGAGGACTTTAGCTGCTAGGCCACGCCGCCGGGCCCTAGAAATATATTTTTTTAAATGTTATTTTTTTATCGGAAAATCATATTTACAGAGACAAGGAGAGACAGAGAGAAAGATTTTATATTGCTGGTTCACTCCCCAAGTAGCCGCAAAGGCCACGTGGTATCCTGGCGCATGCAGGGCGGGGACTTTAGCCACCAGGCTACTGCACTGGGCCTTGCTAATAGAAATGCCAACCACTAGGCCAACTACACACTGCGGTTGTTTTCAAGTCTACCATTTTTGTTCCCCCAGAATTTTCACTTTTTCTTTGAAATTTATAAATTTCACCAGATCTGATGTGTATTTTTTTAAAAAAATTAATGCTCGCTGAGTATTCAGAGAGACTCTTTCCTTTAGGTCAATTGAAATGTTCTTCTATCACTTCTTCATTCAGGAAAAAAAAATGTGTCTGGGGTAGAGGAGGCAGACACAAAGGCTCAGCTGGCTGACCCTTCACCTGCTAGTGCTGGCGTCCCCTATGGGTGCCGGTTCGTATCCCGGCTGCTCCACTTTTGATTCAGCTCCCTGCCTGTGGCCGGGGAGAGCAGCGGAGGATGGCTCCTTCCCTGCCCCTGGAGTTGGTTTAGCTCAAGCTGTTGCGACCATTTGGGGGAGTAAATCAGTGGATGGAAGATCTTTCTGTCTTTCTTTCTATAAATGTATCTTTTCAATAACAATAAATCAATCTTTTAAAAATGTCTTTGGAAGGCAGAGTGAATACCTCCCTGTGGGTCTCCCAGATGGGTGGGCTGTTGTCTGCTGCCTCCGAGGTGTATGAGAAACAAACTAGATTGTAAACAGAGGTGGAACTTGATTCTAAGCACTCGATCTGATATGGGATGTGGGTTCAGGGCAGCAGCCTAACCCACGATGCCACAACACCTATACCCCAAATAGTGCTTTAACTGCCGTATGTGTCTGGCCTAGGGTCGCTGCCTTTCAAACAGATGAAAGATCAATGCCACAGAATAGAAATGAGAAGATTTTGCGGGGGGAGCTGGTCAGGCAGTAGTAGTGAAGCCAGTGGGGTGGATGAGCCTCCAGTCTGCGGACTGCTGCGGCCCAGGAATTTGACCCGAGGCCTCACGGGCCGGAGGCTCCCCAGGAAGCCCTCCCCCCAGGGGAGGGGTGGTGTTTGTATGCACTGCCTGGCACAGACAGGGTACCCGAGTGAGCACAGACAGGAGGAGGCTGGTGAGGGCTGGAGCCAGCCCGCGGGAGGGAGAGGCCGTGGGGAGGGGAGGGGACTGGGCAGGCTCTGGAATGGGGAAATGTTTCTCGGAGCACGAACTGTCCCAAGCGCTTTCCTGCTCTGACCCTGCCTCAGGGCCCGGAAGCGGGATTTCACTGCTGGCTGGCCCGGAGAAAGTGCCACTTGGGAGAGGCTGAGACGCCCCGGGGGCGCGGTCAAGGGCGGCAGCCCTGCCATGGTGTGTGTGTGTGTGTGTGTGTGTGTGTGTGTGTGTGTATGTGTGGTGGGGTGGGGAGAGGTGGACAGAGGAGGTGCGGTTGCCATGCTGGAGATCGGATCCTGTGGGGACTGGAGGTGGCCCGGGGTGGGAGGGGTCAGCAGGGGAACACTGGTGGTGCCTGGCCTGGGGTTGGAGTGGCAGAAAATGAGCACTAAAGCTGAGACTGCAATGTATCTGTGTACGTGTGCTGTGAGCACGCATGTGTATGCAGATAGCTATGTGTGTTGCGTGTACACGCATATATGTATGTGTAAGGGCCTGCATATATAGGCATGCGCAAATGTGTGTATGCGTGTACGTGCATCTGCATATGTAAATGTGTGCATGTGTATATGTGTGCCTATGTTTACGGTGTGTGTGTGTGTGTTGAACCATCCAGCTGTCTTGCCTGCCGAGGGGGTTTCTAACTGTCGACCATCCAGGAGGGATGTTGTCCCCTCACCATCCTCGCAGGGCTCCCCCACAGGCTTGGTCTGCGGTGACAACTTGGCCAGCTCATCGGGTGGGGCCACAGGTTTGGGCCAAAGGCTGGGGAGAAACGAGCCGGGATCCATCTGTGTGTGGAGGGTGTGGCAGGTGCGGCTGGAGGCTCCTGGGCAGGGGTGGCCTGTGTCCAGGTAGATCTCGGCGCCCAGCACTCCCGACTCCAGCACAGCACTCTCATTGGCTAGAATCCCTCCATCCCTTGGTGGGGGGAGATGCTAAGAATGGGGGGAACCTAAGACAGAAATGTGGGGGCGGGGCGTGGAGTGGGGGGGGAGGGAATGCTAACAGGAGCCCTTGCACACCGACGCGCACACGCGCTGGCGCAGCCACCCCCTGAGAGGAGGCTCACAGACCCGCAGTACATCTGTGTGCGGGTGTGGCCGTGGGCGTGTGCACCCGCAGTGTGCTGACAGCTGCAGGCACCTCTTTTCTCCACAGACGTGTAACAGAAGCCGGCAGGCATGTGAGTGGGGGTGAGTGGGGAGGGTCCTGGCCCAGGCTCAGCCCCAGGGACATGGCCCTTCTGAGGTCCAGGAAAGCGGGGCGTGGAAATGGGGTCATTCTTCCGTTCATTTCCTTCCTACCCAAACATAAGGGAGAGGAGTGGCCAAACGTCCTCAGAGGGGTCAAATTCTCCAGAATTCAGCCTTTTTCTCTAACAGTAGGCTTACCTCAGAGGATTCTTGGGTGTCTGTGTATGCTTCCACCCTTTCTAGGCTAAGACTAGAAGATTTCGCCTGTTGGCCACAGGAACGCGGATATTCAATCCTTCTCTAAGCCGCCTCCGGGAAGCCTTCCCAGACTGTCTCCCTAGATGGTCTCCGCGAGGCCAGCACACCTCCACCACCCCCGCCCCAGGCTGTTGCCTTCCGCTGTTTTCCGTGGCCGCCCCCCTTGCTTGCTTGCGCTCGGCCTGCCCGCCCTGAACCGTCTGGCGCCAAGGGGAGGAAACGCGGCCCCGCGAGGGGGGCCTGGCCGAACTGGGCGGCCAGCGGCCAGCTCCGCCCCTACCTGTGTTGGCCCAGCCGCCCCGCGCCCGCGAGCCTGCAAATAAAAGGGGCTCAGAGGCTCGAGGTCAGCGAGTTCGCTCTCCGCCTGGCGCGCCCTCAGAGTCCCGCCGCTGGGTCCCCACACCATGTCCTTCCACCTCGGCTCTCAGGCGTTCAGCTCGCGCTCGGCCGCAGCCGCCCCGGGCCGAGGCGCGCAGGTGCGCCTGAGCTCGCGGCGCCTGCTCGGCCTGGGCGCATCGCGGCCACGGGTGACCCTGAACTTGGCCTCTGCAGGCCCAGCGGGAGGCGGCATCCGCGAGGTAACCCTCAACCAGAGCCTGCTGGCCCCGCTGCAACTGGACATCGACCCCTCCCTCCAGCAGGTGCGCCAAGAGGAGCATGAACAAATCAAGACCCTCAACGACAAGTTTGCTTCCTTTATCGACAAGGTGAGGCTGCCGGGTACCCTGCCTGGGAGAGTGGGGAGCTGCGTTCGCGTGGCAGGGAAGGCGGTTCCTTGGTCTCTTCCCCTTCCCATCACCCTGCGGCTGTCCCCCACCCCAGCGCCAAGCCCTGATTTCCAGCCAGCTGCCCAGTCCTCCCCCCGCCCCCGCTTCAGGAATGTGTGCCCAGGTTCCGTCCGGCTGCCCTGGCTGACTTCCGCTCTCTCTGGGGCCAGCTTTGTCACCAGTGTCAGGGTGTGAGCCTGAGGCCCTCTTTCCCAGAGAAGGGGCTGAGTGGAGTCAGGGATTGGTGGTGGCGGTAGGGAGCCCTGGGCTCCTTCAGCTGCTGTGGGTCCTGAACGAAGGCTGGAGGCAAAGGGCGGGCGGCCGCCCAGCTGAAGTGGTGCACCTGCCCTTAGGAGTTGCCAGCTGGGGCAGGGAGTGGCATGGAGGGACCGTGTGGGAGAGGTTTTTCCTTTCTGTGTTGCGCTGGACTCTGGCTGGGATTAGGGCTTTGGGGGGGGGGGAATGGGGAGAGAGTACAGGTGGGGCTGGACCCAGGTAAAAGGACGCTGATATGCTGGACTGCAGGAGACCTCTTTTGTCTTCCACCACGGAGGGGGAGGGGCTCAGAGAATCCCTGGGACCCTAACACTCAGCATACCATAGGTGCTTATTTCGCCCTGGGTAAGGCACAGTGCCTGGGCCGGGCTTGGAGAGCAGGGGATGGAGAGATAGGCTACTGAAGGAGGAAGAGAAGAGGCCCCAGGCTGGGGCAGCAAGGGGCAAGTGCGGGGCAGATCCCCACAGACTGTTCAACAGGTGATATGGAGCATTTGTGGACAGTCCATTGGGGATGTGCGGGACGCACGATGAACCTGCTGCTGGCATCACACTCCTGACTTCAGATGGCTCTCCAGAGGAGAGGGGCCAGGGTGGCCAGGGTCAGCTTGCTCGGGGCGGAGAGGGGGAGTGGACAGTGCTGTTGGGGGCCCCTCCTGATCTCCTCTTCCCTGGCCTCTCCAGGTGCGCTTCCTGGAGCAGCAGAACCAGATGCTGGAGACCAAATGGGCGTTGCTGCAGGAGCAGGGCGCTGCCAAGAACAGCCGCCTGCCCAGCATCTTGGAGGCCCAGGTTGCTGGGCTGAGGGGGCAGCTGGAGGCGCTGCAAATGGATAGCGGCCGCTTGGAGGCAGAGCTGCGCAGCATGCAGGAGGCGGTGGAAGACTTCAAGAATAAGTAATGTCCCCAGTGTGTCCCTGGTACTCTGCAAGTCCCTGCTCTGTGGTTCAGGGGTCAGAGCGTGCAGCTGCTCAGGGCCGGGACTCCTGGAAGCTGCCATCTCTAAGCTAGCACATTCCCTTCCTGTCTTCTGCCTCTGCCTCCTCTGGGGCTTGTTTCCAAGGCGTTCTTTGCTCCTCATTGGGTCTCAAGTAAAGCATCTCAGCCCAGTTCAGACTGGCACAAGAGAATGTGGTTAGAAGGTGTCTGTGGCAGGGTGTGCTTTGGACACCCCCTTACCCTCTCAGATCATTCTAGAACAGCTCTCTTGTTTGGGTGGGGTGTGAGAGACCAGCGAGGCTCAAGCACTAGCACTGTGAGAGCTGGGGACTTCAAATTTTTGGCCACCCATTCCCAGGAGGAGAATGGGAATCAAAGTGGGAAGGAAAAATGCAGGAAGGAAGGAGGGACACTGCGGGCATGTTGGGCGGGAGGGCTGGGGGTCAGATGGGAGCTTGAGGGCAGGCAGGGAAGGGCCAGGAAGATTAGGCCGTGGAGGACAGGTCTCTGGGACTCAGTGAAAGCAAACCTAAGCCTGAGGCTTGACACACCTGCACAGGAGCCACTGGGCACGCTCTGTCCTCTGCCCATGGCTGTGGGACTCAGTGGGAACAGAGGCACAGGCTCTGACTGGAGCAGAGCACACAGGGCCTCTGTGTGGAGTATCGCCCCTTCTCCCCCACCCCTCACCTCTCTCTCTGCCCCTCACCTCCCTCCCTGACTTCTCTTGGGGTAAGAGTCAACAGGATTCATCTCATAGCAGGTGCAATCAAACAGGTCCGGGCAGTGGGAGGCTTGGGGGTAGCCAGCCAGCCCCTATGGTCAGGAACTCATGCCTGCGTGTGTGTGCAACCTCCGTGCCCTGACTGCTTCATCTCTCCCAGAGCCCCCACCCCGCCTCCCCTAGGAGTCAGGTTGAGCTCCAGGCTGAGGCTGAAGGAGGAGCTGGATTGGGATGATGGGGAGTGGCCTGGTGCATGGTACAGCTCTGAGCTGTGCACCCTCTCGGTGCCACTGTGCAGCACTGAGCTCGGGGCGGGCAGGGTACTGAGTACAGCCTCTCAGATGGTTCTCTGGATTCCACAGAGTGTGAGGGGTTGGGTGGGGATCCTGGAGGAGCTTGGGCGCTCTGGGCACATTGCTTCCCACCGGAGTTGCTTGAGGATGCTGCTGCTGCTGGGACTGCTGCTCTGACTCTAACACTGTTCATGTTCTTGCCCACACACTTTTTGGGTCCCCCTCAGTGAACCCCGACTTGGGCTAAGGTGCTCTGACCCCTGTGTCTTGCCTGTTGAGGGCCTCCTGAGAGTCAGGGGAGCTGGCTCCTGGGGAGACTGGGGAATGGGAGTGAGGCACTGCAGGAGCAGGTGGAGCCATCTGGCAGGGATGCTGGGTTCACCCTGGATTTCATGTCTCCCTGCAGACATGTCTCCTGCCTTGCAGACACCTTCTCCCTTTGTAGGGGGCGCTGGTTAGCTGTTGTGGTTAGATGTGAGCTCTGGAGTCAACTGCCAGGGTTCAGGTGTGGACTCTGACTTGTAGCAGCGATGGTGGCTTGGACTGATGGCTTAGTCTCTCCTCCCTTTCCTCTTCTTTTTCAACAAGGTGTTTTTTTTGAAAAGTGAGTTATAGAGCGACACAGAGAGATCTTTCATTTGTTGGTCCATGACCCAAATGGCTGTAAAAGTTAGGGGTAGGAGCCAGGCTGAAGCCAGGAGCCTGGAACTCTATTTGGGTCTCCCACATAAGTGTCAGGGCCCAAGTACTTGGGCCATCCTGACAATTAGCAGGAAGCTAGATCTGAAGCTGTCCAGGTGTGTCATGGAGAAGGGGGTGAGAGCAGATGTCACACCTGGGTGGGAGGGGCCTTGAGTCCAGCAGCCCTGACATGGCGTCCTGCCCCTCATCAACTGCAGGTACGAAGATGAAATTAACCAGCGCACAGCTGCTGAGAATGAGTTTGTGATGCTGAAGAAGGTAAGGGGGCAGACAGGCTGGGAGAGGCGGCCCTGTCAACTGAGCAGCCAGTGAGACCTGCAGCCGGAACATGGCCTGGACTGTGACAAGAAGGGAGAGCCACAGGAAGGACCTGAGTGTGTATGTGTGACTGGATGGTGCCTAGACCTCCACTGGGAACTAAGGTTAAAGAACCAGGTTGGATGCAGAAAATGCCCCGTTGCTGTTAGAACAGTTCATGCTACACAACAGGTGCATGTGATCAACTTCAGATGCTTAGCAAAGGCGTTGCAACAAGCCACCTTCATGCATAATGAACTCTCTGTGCACACTGAGGTTGGGGACCTGAGGGCTCTTAGCGGGCTTTGAGTGACACACCCTATTGCTTCAAGGCTTACCCACAAAGGATGGATTGGCATTGTGGGCCCATCTGTGGGCATATAGCCACCGGGGATGGGTCAAAGAGGACCCCAAATCCCCTAGTTTTAATCCTAGGGCAGTGCAGCTGGAAGGAGTCCCTTCCTTCCAGGATTGGCTGCCATCTGTCCCAGATGGGCTGAGCTGGTCAACTCTGGGAACCTGCACGGTTTTCCACTCCCCTGCTGACTGACTGGAAGTTGAGGTTTACTCGAGTTGAAATGGTTTGCCCCTGACCACACAGCTCATAGCTGGCAGGGTCAGGGAGGGACGTGCCCAGACCATCCATGCCTTCTGGAGCTGTCCAGGTGGCCTCGGCTGCTCTGCGAGCTAGCAGTGTAGAGAAAGCGCCTGGGTCCTGGCCGCCTGGACAAACCATGTGTCTTGGGAGCAGTGCCGTGTTGAATTGGGTGGGTTCTGCAGGGCTGGCTTGTTTTCTCAGCTACTAAATCAGTGCTGAGGCCATGTCTGCCCCTCCCCAGGACGTGGACGCTGCCTACATGAACAAGGTGGAGTTGGAGACCAAGGCCAACGCCCTCAACGATGAGATCAACTTCCTGAAGACCCTCAATGAGCTGGTGAGAAGCTTGGGGGTGTGTGACCTGTTCTAACCAGGGAGCTGTGCGGATGCAGTGCTTGTCCTTAAGCTGGTCCATCTTCCTCTCTGGGCTCAGGGGCTCAGTGGGGGCCGGAGCGGTAGAGCATGTGAGGTCTCCAAGGGACCTTCCAAGGGCATACGATGACTGTATCCTTGGTTGTGTTGGTTTGGGGTGGGAACCAGGAAAGGGTCAGGGGATTCCAGGCTGAGGTGTACTGGGTGTCAGGGGGCAGGGGTGCTCAAGACGGGAAGATGGAGGGCTGGGTGGCCACTCCTTTGTGTGCCCCCTTCTCACTCTCTCCCTCCCACCTGTCTGGCCTGGGCTCCCAGCTTCTTCCCCTTAGGCCACACGAAAGCCCGCCCCTTCCCTCCCTCCTCCCCGGCCAACCATTCCCAACTGGGTGAAACTTTGGCCTCAGATGGGAGGTGAGGTCCAACCATCTGGCAAAGGCTGGGCCAGTTGGAGGCTCATTACAGACTCATCCTTGTGCCCTGGTCCAGGCTTTGCCCAAACATCCATGCGTGGATGTTTCAGGGCTGTCCCCTTGGGCTTTCCCTAGCCATCCAGTCTCTGCATGGGGTCTTCCTCTGTCATGTGAACACTTTGAAAAAGTTGGTGGACAAACAGAGGGGCAGGTGTTTGGCCTGGTAGTGCCTGGTTTTGAGTCCTGACTTTAGCTTCTTGCACCCCTGCACCCTGTGAGGTTGGAGGGAAGGGAGGGCATAGCAGGTGATAACTCAAGGGGTTGAGTTCCTGCCTCCCGCCTGGGAGACCCAGATGGAGCTCCTGGAACAAGATGGAATCGCCACAGCCACCATGACCATCGTTGCTTCTACGTTTTTCAGGTGTTTTCTGTGTGTGTATGACACAGCGGGGCCTATTTTATTTATTTTTTTTGTCTTCTAAAAATTTATTTATTTAATTGAAAAGTCATATATACAGAGAGGAGGAGAGACAGAGAGGAAGATTTTTCTGTTTGCTGATTCACTCTCTAAGTGGCTGCAATGGCCAGAGCTGAGCCGACCCGAAGTCAGGAGCCAGGAGGTTCTTCCTGGTCTCCCACGTGGGTGCAGGGTCCCAAGACTTTGGGCTGTCTTCTGCTGCTTTCCCAGGCCACAAGCAGGGAGCTGGATGGGAAACGGGGCCACTGGGATTAGAACTGGCACCTATATGGGATCCTGGCATATGCAATGTGAGGACTTTATTTACTAGGCTATTTTTTTAAACAGATGTATTTATTTAATTTGAAAGGCAAAGTTACAGAGAGAGAGAGAGAAAGAGAGAGAGAGAGAGAGAGAGAGAGAGAGAGAGAGATCTTCTATTCACTTGTTCATATCTCAGATGGTCACAATGGCCAACATGGGCCAGGCAGAAGCCAGGAGCCACAAATCAGGAACTGGGAGCTGGGAGTCAGGGACCAGGAGGATCCAGGAGGATTCAGGAGCCTGGAACTTCCAAGTCTTCTATGTGGTCGCAGGGGCACCAGCACTTGGGTCACCTTCGACTGCTTTTCCCAGATAGAATAACAGGGAGCTGGATCAGAAGTGGAGCAGCCAGGATACGAACTGGCGCTCATAAGGGATGCTGGCACCACAGGTGACGACTTTACCTGACTTACCACTGTGCCAGCCCCAGGAATATCTGTTTTGGAGAAGAACAGACCCATGCCTCTCAGCACGCAGTAGTGGGTGGTGGGCACTGCTCCTGTGGCACTGGCAGGAAGGCTGCCTGGCAGTCCAGGGTAGAGTGGGACGATTCTCTTCACCACCACCTTCAAGTTGGGCTCATGCTGGAACTAGGAGCTGGCACAGGGCACCACACAGTGGCACAGTCATTTGCCTTGTCCCCTGTCCTCCTGCAGACTCTGCTGGGAAACTGGGACTGATGGGGAAGCTGGGGGGTCTGTGTCCTATACTGCCGCCAGGCGATCAGGCCTGCTGCAAGGAAGGACCTTGGGGCAGGGCGGGGGTGTGGGCACAGGGATGAGTCATGCTTGGTTCCCACAGGAACTGACGGAACTGCAGGCTCAGATTTCCGACACGTCCGTGGTGCTGTCCATGGACAACAACCGGCACCTGGACCTGGACAGCATCATCGCCGAGGTCCGTGCCCAGTACGAGGACATCGCCCAGAGAAGCCGAGCCGAGGCCGAGGCGCTGTACCAGACCAAGGTGTGAGGCTACTTGGGGCATTTCCCCTCCTCCATCAGGCCTTTTGTGGCTGTAGCAGCTTGCCTTCCTCCTTGTCTCTAGCCTTGAGCCTGGAGTCTCACAGTTTGGCAGGTGCCGTGGCTGGGCACCCTGGTGCTTGAGGAGGGAGGAGAGAATGAGCAGGTCAGAGGGCAGCCCCAGGGTGACCCCAACCTGCAGGGACTGGCCGAGGGAAGGGAAAGCGGAGTGGAGGACATGAACTTAGGCTGAGAGTTAGTACTGTTGGAGTTCTCGTGTGGTGCCTAGGCAGTGTGCCCACTGTTTTCCCCTGTATGGACACGGACACATTGGCTCCATAGCACAGCTCTGTAAGGTCAGCACCATGATGGTTCCCATTTTAAGGACGGGAAAATTGAGGCACAGAGATGTTACACGCTTCATCTAATTCCACTCAGCTAGAACACGAGTGAGAACTAGATCCTGAGTCCCAGGGCTTTAGACTGTTGCCATGGAGATAGATAGCCAATGGTACAGGTGGTGAAGGTGTAGGAGGGGGCACTGGGTAAAGCAGGGGAGGAGGGTGCTTTAAGCAAGAGGTGTGTGCAAAGGTGGAGGGTGGCCCGTGGTTGTGGGCGAGAGCACAGGTGTGCAGAGAAGGACCCCTGGGTCCAGGCCCTCCTTAAGCCCTTGTGACTCGCTGTGTGGTCTCTGGCCAGTGGGACTCAAGTCTTCATCTGTGAAGTAGGTGGTGCTGGCAAGGGGGCTACCGGGCAGGCGAGGGTCTCAGCCTTCTAGCAACTGTGTGGTACAAGGGCAGGGTGGCAGGTGGTCAGTGGCACCTGCCGCCCAGTGGCCTGGTGTCAGTGAAGCTGGCTGGGAGAGGGGCAGGCCACCTGTCATTGGTGTGGCTCACCTCCGTGTGTCTGACTCTGCAGTTTGAGAACCTCCAGGCCCAGGCGGGGAAACACGGGGGTGATCTACGCAGCACCCGGAGCGAGATCGCCGAGCTGAACCGCGCCATACAGAGGCTGCAGGCTGAGATCGACGGGGTCAAGAACCAGGTGTGCATGAGTCCGCCTCCTCGCTGCTCCCGCCGTGGTGGGGGTGCACAGGAGAGGCTGCTGGCCTATGCCGTGCTGGGCTCTGGATGGAGGAGCAGAGGCTGGACCCAGGGGAGAGTCGCCTAGGGACACAGGGAGGGGTAGAGCCGTATCAGATACCAGCATCCTGCTTGCACCTGAAAGCACCCAGATTCCAGGGGAATCTGAGGCCAGTAGAGACTGTAACCCTCATGAGGCCCTGTCTCCCTCCCCTGACCCCCAACCCCGCTTCCTTCACTCTGTCCACCCCGCCAGTAACCAGCTTCCAGAATCTTGCTGTTCATTGTCAATTATGTTCATTCTCCAAGACTTGGGCACCTGTTGTCTCCTTGACCCGGAACATGGACCCCCATGGCCACTCCTGACCCAGTGCTGGGGTTTCAGATGAACAAAACAAAACAAAAAACCACAATGCCTCTTGGAGGTGGCTTCCTCAGATGCCCAGCCACCATGGCAGCTGCCCAACTGCCGTTCTCAGAAGCCCCTTTCCCTCTCTGAGGTTTTCTGTCTTAGCATAAGTTCTGCACTATGCCTACCTACACTTAATATACCACAAGTGCCCCTAGAGCAGCCTGTGGTTCACTGCTTCTGCCTGTGCACCTGCCCCACAGTATTGGGGCAGGGCAAGTCTCAAAGACTTTATGGGAGGGGGCTGCACTTTGCTGGAAGCTCAGCTTGGAGGTATTGAGGAGACCCTGCCTTGGGGCCCTGCTGGCTTGTTTACCAGCTGGCTGAGATGCAGGGCTGTGAGTCACCCGGTGAGGTGGGCCATCTTCCAGGCCCCCAGGGAGATACAGAATCATGAGTTCCAGGACTGGCACGCCCTTTCCCGTACAGGTGCAGAGCCAGGCCCCAGAGTTGGGGTGTCTGCCACAAGGAGGACCCCCTTGGAGATGCAACAGGAGGGAGAGATTTCTAGGGGAAGCGGTGTGGGGGGGTGATCCTGGCTCAGGGGTACCAGTGTTGACAGGGCCAGGTCAAAGGGCAGAGGTCAGTGGAGAGTGAGGTGAGCTAGGAGGGCTGGAAAGGAAGGCAGGTTCTGAGTTAAGAGGGAGGAGGAGTCCTGGGCTGGAAGGCTGCTGACGGCAGCTCTCTGGGCTAAATTGCATAGGGCATGGGATAGGAGAGCCCCAAGGCAGTGAGTGAGTGGCTGATACTCAAGGCTGTCACGGGTGCAGGTCCGTGGATCGTGGATCCTGTCTCTGTGATGTCTGAAACAGGTGCAAAGGAGCAGGGTTCCTCTGCTCTGTGGGTCCTGTCCCGAGTGTGTCCCTAACTGGCTTCCGTTTGCAAGGTGACTTCTGGTCCTGGCATGGTGCCAGGCATTTGGAGACTCAGCTAGAAGCTAATGGCACTGGAGCACTTGTAGCCTGGAGCTGGGAGACTGGGCGTCCGTACATTCTAATAGCATCTATTAAGCATTTGCTGTGTGCTGAGCCCTGTGGCAAGCTCATTTCATTCTTGCTTTATTCCTATGAGATAGACACGGTGACTGTTACCCTTTTAGAAAAGAAGAGATTTTGGTTTGGAAGAATTAACTCATCCAGGGTAAGAAGGTCAGAAAGTGGGTGAGCCAGGATCAGGATGGAGGCATCGGCTGTCCAAACCTGTGTGAATGTCCTGGGTTTCCCTGGTGCCAGTGAAGCCCGCTAAAGGATGGCCAGGCACGAAGAAGGTAGAGTAAGCTGAGCCCTGCCCCGCTGGCTTACAGTGTCACCCACTCCTACAGCGTGCCAAGCTGGAAGCCGCCATTGCTGAGGCCGAGGAGCATGGGGAGACTGCCCTCAAGGATGCCCGTGCCAAGCAGGAGGAGCTGGAGGCCGCCCTGCAGCGGGCCAAGCAGGACATGGCACGGCAGCTGCGTGAGTACCAGGAGCTGATGAGCGTGAAGCTGGCCCTGGACATGGAGATTGCCACCTACCGCAAGCTGCTGGAGGGCGAGGAGAGCAGGTGCAGGGAGCTGGGAAAGGCATCCTGGGGTTGGGTTTGGGGTGGAGCCCGGGTTTGCTGGTCATTCAATCTCTATGCGCCTCTCCTGCTGTGATGGGCACCAGGGTGGGCGGTGCTGGGAACATAGAGCTGACACCTGCTGATTTGTCCTTTCTGAGGTGATCTACTAGAAGGACAGATGCGTGGTATAGACATTAGTGGGGGAAGGGGGAAGGATGGCATCCCCTCCTGGTGCATGGCTGTTAGCAGGGTCACCTGACTTGGTCCTCAGAGCACACTCAGGCAAGCAAGTCAGGTGTTACTGGTCTACCTCGCAAGCCAGGGCCTGGGTGAGCTGCTCCCTGAGCCTGGCCTCTTCCACGATGCCATAGAGGTGTCCAATGTCCCCGAGGGGTGAATGACACTGCGTTGAACCGAGGGTAGGTTCAAGGTTTGTGGTCCAAAACTCAGACAATAGGGGAGGCCAACTTTAAGAGGGCAAGGTGATCAGTATAAACATAAGCACACAACACACACACATAAAATACAAAACAAAACAAAAACCCACTGAGAATGAGAAGAAAAGAAGTGCAGGAATCATTAGAGCTTTGGGTACTCATATCTTCTCCTTCTTGGTTCTTTAGATGTATCAGAATTTTTAAAAAGATGTATTTGTGTGAAAGGCAGAGAGAGTGCGCATGCACCAGGAGCCAGGCACTTCTCTGGGTGTTTCTCCTGCGTGCAGAAGCCCCAGCACTTGAACCATCTTCCGCTGCCTTTCCCAGGCATATCAGCAGGCTGCTTGGTTGAAAGTGGAGTAGCTAGAATTTGAGTTGGCTCTCACATAATGCTGGTGTCACAAGTGGACAAGTGGTGGCTTCCGCTGTTGCCTTACAGTGCTGGCCCCTTACAGTGCATTTGGTTATACAGCTGCTGCCTGACAGCAGCCGACATACTATCTCCTCTGCTCCCACTCACTTCTCCACCCCCAACTGCTGGCAGCTCCCAGCACTTGCAGAACCCATTTGAACAAGCAGCCTGGAAACTTCCAGCAAATGAGTCCCTTGCCCTTGGGCTCTGCTCCACCCTCTGGACTTGGGTCTGTTGAGGTGAGCAACGGGCCCCTCCAGCCAAGAGCTTAGTGGCAAACAGGGCTGAGTCACAAAACAAACATGGTCGCCCTCGCAGACGGAGAGTTTGTCTTCCTCGCTGGGGTGGGGGCCCACACACTGGGGCCATCTTCCACTGCTTTCCCAGGTACATCAGCAGGAAGTTGGCTCAGAAGTGGAAAGGTTGGGACTTGCATTGGTGCTCACCTGGGGTATGGGCATCGTAGGCACCAGCTTAACGTGCTGCACCACAACGCCAGCGCCTGGGACAGAGTTGTTTCCGTGGCATGTCTGTTTCTGACCTTGATCTGCTCCGAGCTACCCCACCTAGCCCCTCTCCTAAGTCCACTGGAGCTGCGTTCAATTGGTCAACAGCTCGCTCATTGTGTCAAAATGTGCCATAGCCCACCGGGCCTGGAGCTAGGGACTGGAGATACAGCGATGACTCACTCTTAGGTTATTACCAACCTGGAAGGGAAGGCAGACTGCTGCACATGCCTGAGGGGACTCAGGAAAGTTTATGAAAAGTGTAGTGAAAGATGAATGTGTTTGGGTGTGGAGAATGTTGCATTCCATGCCCAGTTTTTCCCAATATGTACTTTCCATGAACTTTCCTGTGTAACACATGTGGCAGGCATTTGTCAAGTCCTTGTATGCCCAGGGCCTTGGGTATATTACGTTATTTACCCCTCATGAACAAGCTCATGACCTTGGACCTGTGGTCAGGCTCAATTTGCAGCTGGGATGTGGCAGGACTGAGGCCAAGGTCCTGTGGCCAGTGGGTAGAAGGGCTCCAAGGAGCCCAGCTTTCCTTGGCTTCCTTTGCTGAAGGTTGCCTGGAGGGACTGGGATAGGAAGGAAGGTGGAAAGGGTGCGAGGGAGAGCTGCTTTCACAGTTCTGTCCTCTGTCCCCAGGATGCAGGGAGATGGAGCAGGAGCCTTGAACATCTGTAAGTCCTTGGCTGCAGCCCAGCCTCTGGTCCCCGGGTTATCCTCATGGGGATAAGTGTTGAGAAGGGCAGCTGGGTGTTGTGGGTGGGTGGGGTTGGGAGGTTCTTCTTGGGTGGGCCTGGGAGTGAGAGGTGGAGTAGAGAATGGAGGGCTGGAGCAAAGGGGGAGGGTCCCTGGTGGAAGCATGGCACTTACAGAGTTCTGTTCCCATCTCTCTCCCCAGCCCTGCTGAATGCCACTGGTGGTGGTGGCCACGGGAGCGGGCTGACCTTCAGGGGAACCATGGGCAGCAATGCCCTGAGCTTCTCCAGTGCTGGGGGACCCGGAACCCTTAAGGCCCGCAGAAACATCTACAACTGAGCCTAGCTCTGCAGAGACGCATGTCCCCTTTGTCCCACCTCCCAGCCCCAGGACTGTGGGATGGTTCTAACAAGAGTGTGGGTGTTGGAGAGACTTCCAATAAAGCTGCCACTTCCTGAAGCCTGGAGCATCCATGCCTGTGTCTGTGCTTTGTTAGGATGAGTGAAGTGGGGTGGGACAGGAGAAGGGGACTCCCACGGTTGGGGCTGGCCTCATGTGTGGGAGGTGACAAGGGCCACTGCTCCAAGGCTGTCATGCACACTGGGCAGTTGCAGGCCTCTTCTTGTTCCCACTCCCTGGTCCGGTTCTGTGCTGCCAGGTGCCTCCCTCATGGGGTGAGAAGACCACTGACACTCAGCTGACCTGGGCCGGGCCTCTGTGGCCTGGCCGGTTCCCACCCCAGCGGCCCTGGGTCCTTCCTGCTGCTGCATCTGCCTGGCTTTCTACCAGGCTGGGCCCTGGGGTCTAGGACACTGGCTAGTATGTGTGTGTCTGGGCGGGAGAGGAAATGTGTGTGTGCACTTGTGTGTGTGTGTGTGTGTGTGTGCATGTGCTGGTGTGTGTATATGTGTGTACACATCTGTAGGTGTTTGTGGATGTGTCTGAGTGTGTGTCTGCATGTGTGCGAACATGCGTGTACGTGTATATTCATGTATCCATGGTAGTATGTGCATGTCTGCACATGTGTGCATTTGTGTGTCTGCAAGTACATACGTATGCATGTATGCTTCTATGCACATGTCTGATGTGTGTACCTGTGTGTGTGTGTGTGTGTGTGTGTGTGTGTGTGTTTCACATCTAAGTCTCAGGCAGGGCAGGGTACTGGGCTGTCGCTCTGGATCCCTATGGGTGGGGATGCATCTGTGTGTTAAGCTCAGACTTCAGTGGGCTTCACGTGTCAGGGCCTGCTATGGAGGACCCAGTATTGGGCGTTTGGTGCCAGGGCCTGACCATGGCAGCACATGTAATGGGTGCTGGGCAGGAGGTGGCTGTGGCAAGCAGGGGTATGTTGATTTCCTGTGGTGAAGAGAGAGAGCCGGACATTTGCCTATACTGGTGGAGGTGAGAGGAGAGGATCTGGTTGCCAACAGCTGGCCAGGAGTCAGGGTGACATCGGCAGCCCTTCTCCTGCTGGCTTGCCACGTTCCTCTTCCGACCCCGTGTGTCTGGGTTGGGGACGGTCCACAGCCCATCCCTTGCATCCTTCAGGATGGGATGAGAGGGACCTCTTTTGTGGATCTTCAGCCAGGTTGGGCCTGGGCAGAAAGGCCAGGAAAGCACGACAAAGGTGAGAAGATCAGAGCACAGTAGGAGCTTTATTGGAAATGTGGAGTCCTAGCAGGGGTAGGCACCCCCCTCCAGGAAGAATGTATGAGGGGAGCGGCACCACCAGCACCAAAGCTGGGCTTCTAAAGCAGAGGAGTCACACCGGGCGATGCGCCCACACATCCTGGAGTTCTGGACCGGTTTGTCCGTTGGAAGCCAGGGGCCTCCAGATACCTAGAGCAGCCCTGGTGGGGACTGAAATCTCCAGGGAACTGTCAAGTTTGAGGGCTTCCTCGGCCATCAGGGGCGAAATGTTACAGCAGGGAGAGAGGCAAGACTGCATGGCAGGCGGGACCGCAGCCAGGTGCACGGAGTGGCGTTGGGGGGGCTCTTCCTCTTCAAGCCTGGGTGGGGGACGGTCCTTTGGAGGTCTGCGATGCCGCAGGCAGACAGACACACACACACTGGCACGCAGGGGCGGGGACTGCGAGCTCGCGGGAGGCAGGGTGGGGGCATTATGCGAAGCGCACCGAGCGGCCACTGCCGCAGCTCTGACCGCAGGGCGCGCACAGGCCGGTGCTCACGGCCACGTTCCCGGTGCAGGGGGCGCTGCACACGCTGCCTGTCACTGGCCGGGAGCCCGACACGCACAGGTCCCCGCATACGACCCCACCTCGGGAGCTGCTGACACCTGCGGAGGGAGGGGGAAGGGGAAGGCAAGGCTCAGTTACGTGCCAGGTGCAGCCCCTCCTTGCCGGCTAGAGCCCCCGCCACCCTTTCCTGGCATCCCATTTCCCCCTGTCCAGCATACACAGCGCTTGGGCTCTTCTTCTCGCGGTCATCCCAGAGTGTGCTGAGTGCCCATAGCTCAGGTTCTCCCTAGAATGATGGTGCTAGCAAAGCACTTTCCCATAACCGTGCCTGTGCCTCCTTTATCGGTGGGCTGGCTTTGGCTGCTGCATGCTGCTTGGGACTCAGGGGCACCTGCTGTGTTAATTTCAAAACTGCCTTGCTGCCTTGGCTCCATTCATAGGACAAGGGCAGAGCTGCAGTGGTGTGGACAGAGCTCACATGGCCTGCACATTTGGACCATTTCCCATCTGACCATTGAAGTCCACATGTGTCCATCCCAGATCCCATGAGGTCCAAGGACCACAGGGGCAACTACTTACAGACATTGATGGCTCCGACGCCCTCACACAACCTTGGGCAGAACAAAGAGACAAGAATTAGTTGCAGGGAGCACATGGGTGGGGAAAGCTTGATGCAAATTAGATGTAAATAACAAGCATATTGTCCTGGAGTTTCCAAGCGTGCAATACAACCTGGGGAGCACATTAGAGACCCTTACACAGGTAAGGCTCTCACCTGTGCTCCTCGCCCTCCAGCAGGCGGCGGTAGGTGGCAATCTCAATGTCCAGGCCCAGCTTGGAGTTCATCACCTCCTGGTACTCCTTGAGCAGGCAGGCCATGTCCTGCTTGGCCTTCTGCAGGGCCTCCTCTAGCCCTGCCAGCTTGCAGCGGGCGTCGCTCAGGGCCGCCTCGCCCTGCTGCTCAGACTGGCTCACAGCAGCCTCCAGCTTGGTGTTCTGGGAATCCAGGAGAAAACAGGGTAGGTTCTGACCCCTGGGACTCTCCCTCTATGTCCTACATGGGTCCAGGCTCCCCCACTTGGCCAGGGACACCTACCACCCAGGCCCCTGAGTGATCAGGAACTGGGACTCCAGTCTTGCAAACTGGCCAGACAACACAATGGACTCCCCTAGGGCACAGGTGTCCTGTGTGACACTGGGGTGGCCCATCACTCTGGCCCTGGTACACACTGAGCCTTACCTGGCACTTGGCGTTCTCCACCTCGGCCGTCAGCCTCTGGATCATGCGGTTCAGCTCGTTGATCTCCTCCTTGGTGCGGCGCAGGGTCTCCCCGTGCCGGATCACCGTGGCCTTCATCTCCTCACACTGAGGGGAAGAGCAGGAGCCCCCAAGGCTCAGCACATTGCCAGGGTGACTCAGAAGGAACAGCGCTCAGCAGGTACACCCATATGAAGCAGGTGCACCCACACACTCAGCAGGTACACCCACAAACTCAGCAGGTACACCCACACACTCAGCAGGTGCACTCACCCACACTCAGCAGGTGCACTCACCCACACACTCAGCAGGTGCACTCACCCACACACTCAGCAGGTACACTGATGCACAGCAGCCCTGCCCTGCTGAAGGCCATCAGCCTCCTCAGGGACCAGAACCCCAGCCTTTCTCCTTGTCCCTCCCACTGTCACATCCTGTGCTGCTCACCTTGCTGCGGTACCAGGACTCAGCCTCAGCCCGGCTGCGGGTGGCAATGTCGTCATACTGAGCCTTGATCTCAGCGATGACACAGTCCATGTTGAGGTCCCGGCTGTTGTCCATCTTGACCACAACCGAGGTGTCTGAGATGTGGGCATGGAGGACGCGGATCTCCTGCAGGGGGCGGGGGACACAGCGCCATCTTTTGTGGCCTCTCTCATAACCCTTCCCTGCCCCTTTCTCCTTCCTCAGACAACGCTGCCACCTACAGTTCTCCCCACCCCAATACTGAGCTGCAGAACCACCAGGATGCTTGGAGTTCCCTGGGGGAGCAGAACAAGCCCCTGGCTGCCTGCCTGCCTAAAGTCTCTTTCTCTCTCTCTCTTTCAGCTCTGCACGCTCTCCCTCCCACCTTGCTGTGGGGGTCAGAAGCCGTGAGGTTGACATGTCCCTTCCAATGTCCATGTCCACCTCATGTCCTCCTCACCTCCTCATACAGTCGCCGCAGGAAGTCGATCTCCTGGGTCAGCGCCTCCACGTTGGCCTCCAGGTCCGAGCGGCGGAGGTAGGCGCAGTCCACGTCCTGCAGGATGGAGGGGTGGGTAGCTCGCATGTGACACTTGGGCAGGGAACTTCATTTTTGCCATCTGGGAGCAGGCCACCCCATCTGGCTGAACCAACAGTTGCCCCTGGGACCCCTCTTGGGGTTTATCCCAGTGCTTCGCGGGGTGGCTTTCTTATAGCAGGGTGAGGCACAGGTTTGGGAGAGGGAGGGAAGGGGGAGGGGGATTAGTGGTTTCCGGTTTCCAGATCCTTCTCCAGGATGGTCCTTCTAGAAGCTGCGCCTTGCATGCTCTTCAGGACTTAGCTTGATGCCAGTGGTACCCTTCCTCCTCTACCCGGGCATCTCATGGTACGAAACCTGCAGCAGTGGTCAGCTGAGGTTCAGGCCTTGACTCTGGCCCTTGAGCCCTGGGTCTCCTTCCTTCACAATAGCCTTGGCCTTCACCTCAGCGGGCCATGGGCCCCTGTTCTTGCTGTTCCCACCTGCACATTCCAGCAAGCAGTCATGGGTGCTCACCCTGGTGATAGGGAACACCTAGGGGTGGGGTGTGGTAGGTGGAGCTTGGGGCAGACTTGGCAGTGCTCGCTCTGGGGGGTGGGTCCCCAGCAAGCCAGGCTAGGTCTTGGTGGGAGGAGGGATGAAGACGCCAGGGTCCCTTACCTTCTTCAGTGCCACGAATTCATTCTCAGCGGTGGCCCTGAGTGCCACCTCTTCTTCGTACCTGGGGACGGAGCACATGAGATTGAGCTTTGAGAAGGAGCAAGGGAAAGAAGCCCATGTGGACACCTGCCAGTAACTGCATGCCTCGGAGTGTGTGTGTGTGTGTGTGTGTGTGTGTGTGTGTGTGTGTGTGTGTGTGTCAGGGTCACACAGTCAGAAGAAGTTGTGCTGGGAGGGACTGAGGCACCTCTTACCTCTGATGGCTCACACAGACCCTGGCTTCTGACATAGGTGGGGGGGGGGCGGCCCAAGGTCCTTCTCTGGGTTGGAAGTCTCTGGG